CCTATATATATATATATATATATATATACACCCACCTATATGTAGAGATATGTTCTTGCTCATCATATTAAATGCTGGCAGCTTCAAATCATATGTGATGAAATCCATGCCTCAAAATTTGATATTACAAAATGGTGGGTAATTAATTAATTTACATATATATATATATATATATATATTATCTGAGAATCTGATTTAAATCTATAATCTTTTATAAAACACAAAAAATATCAACAATTTCAATCATAAATTATGATTACATGAATTTATTGTTTTATATTTTTATTATCATTTCTAAACTTTCTAAAACAATAATAATCATTTTTTAAATTTAAAATATTAAATGAAAATTTTACTTTATCGTAACTACTATAATTACGAAAAATGTTAGACCATTAAGAATATTTATTTTACTCTGTAAACGTAATAAATGTGTTAAAATTTGTATTTAACTTAGTCACAACGAGACTGTCAGTGTATTAGTAAATAAAATTTTTGATTAATCCGAATCAAGTATTATAAAACGGGTATCACCAACCTATAATACACAATCAGAATCACAAATTTTACATCTCCGACAATATTTATGCATGCATCATAATTATCAAACCCAAATCATTGCAATATTTATTTTATAATATACTTTTTAAATGTGAGGACCATATAGAATCTCCTTTTAATTACCATATATCTCTTCCCAATCATTCTCCCAATCTTCCTCCCTACAACTCACAAAAAAGGGACCCTTCTCCTCTTCACATGTAATTTTTCTTCAATTCTTAGACCCTTATTTAGTTGGTTCAAATTTATTATATTTTTATTTAATTTTTAATTTATTTAATATTTAAAAAATATTACTAATTAAAAAATTAATTTGGGTTTTCTTTTTTAATTACTTATCCTACGAAGAAATGGTTACTATAACGTTATCGATCCAAATGCTACTGCTCCAATAATTTTTTAAACTTAGACCGTCAAATTTCGAAAGTATAAATTTAAATTGTTTTTGGGATTTTTACAGAATGAAGAGAAGATAAATTTTTATTGATTTCACTCACTCTAAAATTAACAACCTATGTAATACCTGGACTCAGAATTTGGTACGTGATTAATTTTAGTATTTTAAAATAATAAAAAATTACTTATAATTAATTTAGTTTAATTTTTATTGAATTTATTGAACAAAATATGTTAGAGATGTAATCACAATTCTTTTAAAAAAATGAAAATTTACGTTAGAGAGGTGTTTTTGAATGAACAGTTAAAA